CTTTCCCTAACAGGCTTCCTTATACATATTTCTATCAACACTTCGTAGTAAAATATAAGAAATTTAAATATCTGGTCTATTCCTTCTTCCTAAAATCGTGTTGAATGCTTTAAGCAGTTGTCAAACAACTACCATGAAACTACAGTAAAAACAAGCCAATGTGTCAAACAGAATGATTTTATATTTTTATCAACACCAAAACTAATAGCATAACCCTGCCCAGACAACATCATGACGCTGATATACTTACAATTTACAATTTATTTTTGTAATCAACTCCTTTCTTTTTTAAAAAACTATATTTAGAATAATTGATCTAATTGCAGCAAGAAGCAATAGTTAGTCATCTGAAGAGCTTTGAAAGTACAGAAAGACTTCACTGAATCATCACACAATTGTGTCAGTATATACTTTTCTTCTTCTAACAGGAATTACTGATGACTTCATGGTAATGGTTCCACAAAAATCAAGAGAGAGTAGCATACAGAGACATCTATGAACATAAACCATATGATGGCTATTACATAGCTATCAGCTATTCCAAAGAGAGGGCCATTGTTTTTAAACCAATGACTCAGTTCCACAAAGGTCATCTAAAACAGCTGAAGACTTCACACACAAAATGCATAATGTTATATTTTCTTTCTCAACCTTATGTCTTAAAAAGTGTTCTCCTCTGCATGGGTGCACGTACTTTTACACACACTTCAGAAATAGTCAATACCATTCAGCTCTAAAGCTGTAGATTTAGAGCAGTGAATGCCACATATGAATTCCCTTATCAAAAAGAGGCCTGACTTCCAGTGTTCTAGAAATACATTGCTACTTTGAGAGAAACCTACAACAGAGACATTGCCTAGCCTAAACACTTGAGTTTTTCTTCAGTGGGTATTTATTTACTTTAAATAAGATCTTCCTGGTTCATCTCCTCAACATGAAGCTCCTTTGCACTACACCAAAGGCATATTGATAGAAGAAAACATATAATGTACTGGATAGGCTTTAAATATCGGCAGGTTTTTCCTATTTCAAGTCTTCTCTGGCTATAAACAACATCATTGCATGCAATAACCGAATCATACAGAGCTTAGTTACTGACATTTAACAAATGAAACATTCTTAGCTGAGTTCTCCCCTTCTCTGCATATACACCTGAAATATAAAAATTATTAAATACTTCAGCATTTATCTATTTATTGCTGCCTTAAACATCACAGCATCAAGTAAAGAAGAACTCTATGTCACTATCATGTGTCTCATGTGAAATGTGCCTGGACATGGCAGATGAATTAATTTTCTTGGAATTGAACTAAGATTAACAGAAATTTAAGTATCTCTTTCATAATCTTGAGATAAAATCAGAAGGTGAAGCATCCCTCCCAAATGTCG